CGGTCCGGGAACCGGAACCGGTACCGGCCGGCACGGTATCATTTCCGGTTACTCGGGGTGGCGGTACCGGAACCGGCGGTTCCAGAACCGTACCGTGTCAACCCCTACGCTGCACCTCATCCAATTAAAAGGTCCCTTTAGTGGGTGGTTGAGACTTTGTGCTGCGGTTTTTTACACGGAATATTTTACAGAAACCGGCGTCGTATTGGCCTGGCACAACTGAGCGGGAAAATTCCCCCCTGCTATTGTAAATAGGAGGATTTGTAGTTAACACGTTTTACCCAAATTTCATTAACATTATATTTTACTCCCTCCGTCCCTAAATGGATTACAATTTTTTTTCTCTCCTCTCGATAACTTTTGTTTGTTTAAGCGATTTCATTAAGTATTTGATAAAATAAAATATTCCTATCACTTCTTGTTTTGTAGAACTTTTGACGTAGTTTTTTAATATGTAATTTTTATCTCTTATTGATATACGAATTTGTAAATAAAATGATTTTAAAAAGTAGGAAATTTTACTTCGTAACTCACAATTTGTAATCAAATTGAGGACGGAGGGAGTAACAGTTTTGTTATTATTCTTGTTTATTTAATTCTTTGCTATTGATTGCTATTTGATTCACAGGAAAAATGAGACATTGGCCCCGTTTGGCATCAGCGTTAGAGATTAGCGTTAGCGTTTTCAAAAAGCTATCCGACGGTAGCCTTTAGCGTTAGCGTTTTTAGATTTAATCTACACCATTAAAATTTTATCCAAAACGCTAACGCTAATCAAAAACGTTGTTACCAAACGAAGCCATTGTAAGGGACTACACTGAAGTGGATCAGGGCGATTTGGCCACTGATTGGTTCTCGACAAAATTGTTAAGCAATTTGTTAGAATATACATAACTGTTCTTGGGCCACAACCACAAGCTTGAGCATTTGGTTGGGTTGGTTCCTTAATCATTGTATCGGAACAGGTTTTGACCCACCTCGTTTGTCAAGGTGTCCGTCTAGACGTTCATTCCTAGCGGCCCGTTAGTCTTTAGCCTAGTTATCTGTATGGAGTATGTACCCTACGGCATGTGGCCCGTTTAACACGATTGCTTGTTTGGAAGTCCATACCCAGCGACTCGTGGTCATTTAGGTGTTGGCGCTCAAAAAAAATTTAAGGGAATAAGAGTTTATTTGCAAGTGGTCAACCGGTTAGATTCAAAATGACCCGGTTGTCCACTTGAGGGGGAGTGTTAAAGTGCAACCCACATCGGAAGTTAAAGAGTAAAATAATCCGATATATAAGCTCTTGAGTTAAACTAACTAATCGATTGGATTCAATCTTTTAATGTGGTTCAGCTCAAGTGTCTTATTACTCAATCCAATTGTCCATACTCATCTTAAATTTTATCATTGTAATTCACGAGATTCTACAATTCACACCAAGTATCACATTTTGCTACGTTCTTCATCGATGCAAGAGCCGAGATATCCATTGCCGAGAGTCATTTCGGTCTCCATCTGCTTCCCTCTCGACAATTTCAAGCACTACGCCTGCACGTGAGGGAGCGTGTTAAAATATAAATAACTCTTTCTGGGCCACAACCACAAGCTTGAGCTTTTGGTTGAATTGGTTCTTTGACAATAAAAAAACGTTTTATTGATTGAATTAATAAGAGAGGAATACAAAGTATGTATTTATAGATGGATGAATATATTCTAGAATCCTCCACATTATTGACTAATTATATAAGGTAATTTTATATAATAATAACTCTAACTATAATAAGTAACAACCATAAATATAATATAATACTAAATATATTAAAATAATTAATATATTTAACAGTTTCCTTCTCCGTGTGGATTCTCCGTATAGCCAGCGCCGTAAAAGCCGTCCTTTTTTGTTTTTTTATGTTTTTCAATAAAGCACATGGCATTATGGTCTATTCCCATCAAAAATGTAATGGGGAATAGCACCGGTGCTATTTGGGGAAACGAAACTTCTTTTGGTTCCATTTGTGTAATTTCCTCTTTTGAAAAATAATGAGATTTAGACCCAAGAGTTCTTATTGTAAAACTAATGTACTTAGCACCATTTTTTGCTCCAAATCTAACAAATACTGGAGGGAGTATAAAACAAGTGATGACTTCTGTATTTTGCATCCAATAATTAATGAAAATGCATACAACTAAACACAAGTAAAAGTTGCCAAAAAATCTAAAATTATAAACAGATAATTTTGGAACAAGGAAAGCATTTTCTGTTATTTGAAATGAGATATACGGAGTACAAAAGAACAACAAATTAAAGAACTTCACTTCCCAACAAATGATATTTGTCTTTGAGATTTGATATACAGAGTATTATGCTACTCTGTAACAAGGAACGTAACGATTTAACTTCAAGTAGTCATGGGAACACTTGATTAAACCCCGGCCATATATAGTATACCTCAAAATCAAATCGGGATTTGCTACCGTACCTTTGCAAATGGAGGGGCATGGATGCCCCTCAACTCAATTGCTGCCATATGGAAGGCTAATTACGTGGATTAAAAAACAATTCCATATCACTTCAATTTTCAGAAAATACAAAATGGCCCTGCCTCACTCTGTTCCCTAATTAATTGATTGTAAAATCATTAATGTTAATTTACTTCTTTTTATGGAGTATTAATTTTTTTTAGTACTCTTTTTTAATATTTTTTTAGAAACAATTACATGAATACTTCAAAAAAAATTGTAAGCTTTTACCATAATTAAAAGAGTATTAGATATTGATACAAAAATAATTTTATCAGATTTATTTTATAATCTATTTTCATAATATATTTTTATCTTATTAATATTTCATATATATTTTATTTAATTTTAGGTGAAAAGTTTAAAATAGTTGGCTGCAAAAAGTCAGAACTGGACAAATAGTACATATTCACATTTTTATCGTGCTGCTGCCAACTGAACTAAATACGTGATATTTAAAATGTTAATTAGACAAATAATAAGTATGAGTTGGCAACTAAATACACATGAAATATTACATCTGTCCCTAAGTATTTGTTCAATTTTGATTTTTTTCAGTTAACATTTAAAATCTCATCTACGTAGTATTTAGCTGGGTTTGTAGCCACCCGTTAACATTGTAACACGTAGAATTTTCAGGACCTGTAGTGTAATTTATTGAATTTTGGGTTACTAACGTACACTTACGAATTTTTTGGATTATTCATGTAAATATTTCTAAGAAAATTTACTCGCTCCGTCCATTTTTATCTTCTCATTTTGAACAACGTGCAAAATCCTATCTTTTTTAAAATTACCTTTATTCGCAAATTGTTATATAAAAAAGTAATATTGTTCAAAACTACATCAAAAGTTCAATAAAATAAGATTTGACAAAAATATTTTATCTTATCAAATGATAAATGAAAATATGTAAACAAATATTTCTTTTATTTCAGTGTATTTGTCTACTTTGACTTTTAAGAGTCAAACATGATGAACTTTGAGATTTATAAAAACAAAAATTTAATGTATATTTGTTAGGGAACCAATTCAACCAAAAGCTCAAGTTTGTGGTTGTGGCCCATAAATAATTTTATAAACTCTAACATGCCCCTCGCGTACATGCATGACTTTTTTAAGTCTTGCATGTGAAACTTTAATTTTTTAAAATTGGTAACAGTGAGTTTCAAACTCGTGACCTCTTAGTCATTAAAGTTTTGATACGATGTCAAGGAATTAATTTAACCAAAAACTTAAGTTTATGGTTGTGGCTCAGGAATGATTTTATATATTCTAATAATATTAGTATAAAAATGATTTTTCTTAGATTTATTTTAATGAGAACTTTCAAAATTTTACTTTAGTGTATTAATATACAATACAAATTGAGAGCAATTCAAACTTAAAATTTATCCAATTTGACTCTAAAAAGTCAAACTGAAAAAATATACAGAGACTAAGACAATATAAGTTATTAAAAATTGAATTGAGTGAATAACTTTTTAACCGGTAAAATAATACTCCATAAAAGATTAGTAACTTAACATTAAGTGGAGAGGACCATTTTGCAATTTCTCGAAACTAAAGTGATATGGAGTATGAAATGATTAATCAATCCACGTAGTTTGCAATCCACATGGCGGCAATTGGGTGGAGGGGCATCCATGTCCCTTTATTTGGGAAGGCACCATAGCAAATCCCAATCAAATCAGGTCTTAGAAATCAGCATGTACATATCCTTATTGCACGTAAAATCAAAACAATGTCCATTCATTCCTCATGTCAAAATTTCATTTAGAAGTTCCCCGAAGACGGCGACTTCAATCTCCATTGCCGTTTCTTCCGCCTGCGTTGGGAAAGTTTTCCACTCCCCGGACTCTACCGCCCCCATGTCCATCTCTACCATCACGTCTATCAAGTTCAATTCCAACCCCCATCTCGAATCAAACCTCTTGCACACAAATCCTTGGTGTGTTTTGCTCTTCTCTAGCCTCTTCATCTCAAATGTTGACCCTACCTCGTTGTCGCACGCAACATCTTCGTCGCCCTTTTCCTCATCCAGCATTATTATTCTCTCGAGCTCGATCGGGTCCAACTCCGCTAGTTTCTCAAATCTACTGAGCTTGCTCAGCAGCTGTTGCTGCGCTCCTATGAGTAGCGAACGCACAAAAGGTGAAATTAGATGTAACACAATATGGGGTAAACACAAACAAGATTCGTGGTAGGGTAATGTCAAGGAACCAACTCAACCAAAAGTTTAAGCTTATGATTGTGGCCCAGGATGAGTTATTTATATTCTACCATGCCCCCTCACGTGCAGGCGTAGTCTTTTTTCGAGCCGTACACGTGAAACTTTAATTTTCTTAAAACTGGATGGCGCTGAGTTTTGAACCCGTGACCTCTTAGTCAACAAGGCTCTGATACCATGTCAAGGAACCAGCTCAACCAAAAGCTCAAGCTTATGGTTGTGGCCCAGGATGAGTTATTTATAGAGGAATTTACCTAAATAGCACTAAAACATAATGACTTTCTCTAAATAGCACTACATATGTTTTTCTTTCCAATGTAGCACTTTTAGTCATTATGCATTAGTCATTATTCAAGCAAAATTTCGCCATCACTGGACATTATGGACATTATAAGTGCTATTTAGAAAATAAAACAGTTTAAGTGCTATTTAGAGAAATGACTTAAGTTTTAGTGCTATTTAGTGCAAATATTTCTTATTTATATTCTAACAGGTAACCCCAACATTTTGGGGTTACCATGACCTCGGGCTTTGCACAGACACAGAGATAACAAATGTCTTAGAAAAGAAAGCTATAGAGAGGAGCATGAACTCCATACTAAAAATATGTTCCAAAATTGGTAATATATAGGACAATTAACGAGTGCTTACTTTGTACTATTGCATAACTACATTCGAGATCGCTGTCGTGCGCTTCGTCATCTTCTTCCTCGAGCGCGTAGTTATGGTCTTCGAATGGAAGATCAAATACTGAGACAGGACTGCATTGCTCTTTCTCATGTTCCTCTTCTTCTTGCTCAATATTTACCAGCTTTTCAATTTCATGCTGATCTTTGTCCTATATGGATAAGTGATCGAGTATTAAGATTGTCAAAAACTACTGTCATTAATTACTGAGTATATATTAAGATTGTCAAAAATTCTATCCTAGAATAGAAGGTACAACAATATAATATCTACAATTAAAATTAAATTGCTCACTGAATAGAAACAAATTGAGTAATTATCACATGGGTGTAACTTGTAAGACAGTAGTCATGAACAGTAGTCATGTTAAGTGCTAACAGAGTAACAGGTGTATAAATCTTAACTCACCTTCGTCTTTATTCACATAGTAGTAATAAATGCTCCGTAATGATAATAATTGATATTGGCACTTCGAAAATCTTAATTAGACTCCAAATTTTATGTTTGAAGACAAAGTATTACACCTACCGCGGAGCGCTTACAGAGGGATCCGTTCACAAAATTGATTGTGCATACCTTTCTCTAAATCCATGTACATACAAAGTTAATTAGGTGTGAGACAAATATCTCTACCAAACTTTTATTGGTGGGAGAAAGAAGAGATTGTGGTAATAATAATAATAATAATAATAATAATAATAATAATAATAATAATAATAATAATGCTCCCTCCGTCCCAGAAAGAATGTCACGTTTACTATTCTGGTGTCTCGATAACTTTTGTTTGTTTACTCGTTTTGGTTGACCATTTGATAAAATAAAATATTCTTCTCACATCTTGTTTTGTAAAACTTTTCATATAGTTTTGAATGGTGTAATTTTTAATTTTTATTACTCTACCAATTTGAAAATATAATGATTTTAAAAGAGATGATATTTTGCACATCGTTTGAAATATTGTAAATAATTTGGGACAGAGAGAGTAATATATAGTTAATATGGAGTAATAAAATAATTGACCATGCTACACTTACACCAAAAAATGTACCCCATTTGTACACCACACTTATGCACAAACATTTTGATGGTTTACACCGATACAAGTGTTGGTGCGTTAACAAAAATTTACACGGACACAAAGTATTGGTGCGTTAATAAAAATTTGTTTTACACCAAAACAAAATGTTGGTGCAAACCTGTGAGGTATAAATGTTGGGATACACATAGCTTAATCCTAAAATAATACTTCCTCCGTCCCAAATTATTTGCCACATTTGCTTTTTGAACAGTCGCGGGAACTTTTGTTTATTTCTACGTTTTCATTGGTTATTTGATAAAATAAAATATTCTTGACACCTCTTATTTTTTATTTTTTTTACCAATATGTAAATAAAATGAATTGAAAAAACTTAATATTTTACCTCGGTAATAGAAATGTGACAAATAATTTGGGACAGAGGGAGTACGGAGGTAAGGGGGGACAAGACCGTTACTTTTAACTCAAAGAAACAAACAAACAAAATTTTGAATTATGTACGACTACACGACTGTGAAACGCAGATCTGAAAAAACGGGGGAGACAATGATGTGTAATTACTGTTTTGTCCATATGATTATAAGATTTTTTAACAGCAAAATCAATTATGTACACAATAATAATAATAATTAATTTAGGGCGATTACAACATAGACATGTAGCTGTGACTTGAGATTGACATGTCAATAATTTCAAGCAAAATGTTTTTTAAAAAATCAAGCAAATATTCAATATGCATTTACACTCACAACCGATACCTAGTTCCATTCACTTGTTTTGTAATTCTCACAATTATAATTAAGCCAAAAAATTAAATTTATTAACTAAGCAATGTATAAATTTTCATCATAATTTAAAATTAGAGTGAATTTTATAATCGATTCTTTAAAAAAGGGTATTTATCTATTTATTCCTCTATTATCGAATATTACTCCAGTGATCCTTCTTTTAAGAGTATCTTTCCATAAATAATCCTTTTTTATATTCTATCATGTTAATGTTAATTTGATGGTGTAATTTTACAATGATAATATATCTTTCTTGTCACGCATAATTCCAAAGATTGCTCCTGATGCGTTGTTTGTGAATTATAGTCGCTTTCGCCTACAACCATAATCAACAAATATGGTATTTCGTAGAAATCCTAGCTCACAATCATATTTATTATTTTTGTGTTATTCATCTAACCAATATCAGAATACATCACTGGACATAAGGTTGATGTCAAATTATAGTTCTAGTCTTTAAATTAACACCAACATGACCGAAAATTAAAAAAAAGATCATTTGTGGAAAGACACTCATAAAAGAAAGACTACAGGAGTAATATTTGATAAAAGAGGACTATATATGGAAACCCCCTTTAATAAAAGACCGATTATGGAATTTATTATTAAATTTATTTGATATTTCTAAAAATATAGTTTCAAATAATTAATTATATAAAAAAGTAGTTAATAAATTATTATATGAAATGAGTTTAATTTTTCAAATACTAATGAGATAATTTCAAAATTGAAGTACTTCGTGTTTAAGTTCTCGCTTTAGGCTCTGTTCCGTACGCTTGATCTCATTGAATATGATAAGAACTTTTGAAGTTCTGATCTGATCTGAATTTTTGAAGTTTTGATCTGATTAGATCTGATCAGATTGGGTCTGATCTGATCTGATCTAATTTTAATAAGAATAAGTAATAAGTAGAAAAAATAAGTCCTACAGAATGGATCTTTAGTCACTTCCCAACTTATATCTCAGAGTAAATAGACATGATATTTTTAGAATAAATTAAATTTCATAAATAATATCCTTTAGAACGAGAGATTTTTTATATATCGAGATCTTCAATTCTAAGATATTACATTTATGATTCTTGATATTTAAGAACTATTTAATAATTAGTAATTTAAAAACTAATTGTGAAAAATTAGTCCCTCTGCCCCTGAAAACCTGGAAGTTTTTAATTTTTAAGAAATTTAAAGAAAGTGTATTTTGGTGTTGAGTTTTCAAAAATGTCCCTATAATATATTTTGTTCACTTCGACTTTTTTGAGTCAACTAAGACAAAATTGAATTATCAATTAATCTTAATGATTTTTTTAAGTTCTAAATAAAATAAATGTAATGTTTTCATTTATATACTAATAAAAATTATATTTTTATTTAATTAAGATCCAAAATTCATCCACTTTGACTAGACGAATACATTGGGACGAAGGTAGCATAAAAAATGTTCCCAAATAAGAGTAAAATATCATTAAAATACCAAAATACAGAGTAGAAATGACATTATTTTTAGTATATTATAAATAAAAGATTGGGATTGTAATGGCATTACAATAATGTGAATGGTAGCGATGTGATGGTGAAATTTGGTGAGAGTGTGATGGTGGACCACTAGTCAACGATGCTCAACACTGGTGACCCGACGATGGAGCTTGACAGCTGGTAGCGGATCTCTGGTGACCCCAAGGCGGCACTTCAAAAGGTTCCGACAAACTCGCGGCGATGAGGGCATGTGGCATTTGACAGTGACAATGTGAACTAGCCTCTTACTTAAGTCACAAAAAGAGCGGTATTCCTATGTTTGTATTTTTATTGTCTGGTCATATTTAAGGAATTCTCCTTTTAAGAAATATCACTAAATAAGAGCAACATGCCATAAAAATTCTAAAATACATTATGACATTTTTTATTTCTAAATATGAGTTTAGGGATGTGAATGGTTGAGTGATGGTGGAGTGCATTGAGAATGTGCACGAGCCGTCAATGGAGTTGCTTACCTAAAATACTATTGCTTCACTAACTAATTGTTTTTAAAACGAATAATTGGTGTGTTCCACATCACCTTTTAAAATTGAAGCAACTCACCATTAAAAGTTGGATTAAGTTATGTTTACCCCAACATTTATATCCCAATTTGTGCCCCGCAAGTTTGCACTAACATTTTGTGTTGGTGTAAAACTAATTTTTATTAACGCACCAACATTTGTGTGCGTGTTAATTTTTGTTAACGCACCAACACTTGTGTCGGTGTAAACCATCAAAATGTTTGTGCAAAACTTTAGTGTACAAATGAGGTACATTTTTTGGTGTAAGTCCATGGTCCTTAAAAGATTATATTCACGCACACCCACAATTATGTGGTATGAATTAATTTTTAATTAAATAAACTGCTAGTTTATAGAATTCACCCTAAATAGGACTAGAACACAAAGAAAAATATCAAACATAACTTTTTTTTCTTCTGAAAAAAGATTTCGCACAGTGGTAATGTGATATTATAAATGTCCACATTATTATACTTTTTGGTAATGTACATGATCATATTTGGGAATGTAATGCATTTTAAATCTTATTTCGAGAATAAAAATATAAAAGTCCTATATATTTTGGTATATTTTTTCTATTTTAATCCTACTTTGATCTTTCGACTAAAATTTCTATCATGAACTTATGACTGTAGGATATACATATGAATTCTAGACCTGCTTACACATTTTTCATAAGTTTATACTTGGATGTTTTACCAAAGTTCAATACATCTAATTATTTTTAATTTCATATAGTAAAGTTTATAAAATTGAATATGGATTTAATAACATCAAAGAATTTTGATTTTTTTAAGTATTGGGAACCCGGATCTTCTTTTTGAAGTATGTGAAACCAATTCTTTTTATTGATTCGTCTGTTTCTGGAAATAATTTGTGTTCAACAAAATGACCATTTTATCCTCCCTATGTCACTGGGGCGCAGTTAAAAGATACTCGTTGAGAAGGATGGTAAAGAGTAATCGGCAGTGGCAAATTAGTCAATTCAGGCCGACATTCCGGCCACAGAATCCGACTACTACGATCTATTTGCCGACAGAATAAATGTGGTCAAACTTAATCAACGGAGAAGCGAGTCGACTCGTTTCTCAATCGCACATCTCAGTGAGTCAGTGGCTCTATTCCCCACGTGAATGTGAAACGAGCCCAAGTGCGCAATTATGAATAAGCGACAAAAACGTGAAGGAAAGAGATCGAAATACCTGGCGTCTGCAGCCAACCGGAGAAGCTGCCGGAGAAGGGAAGCCCGCTTTCCGGCGACCGGGAGATTCACATCTTTGAAGGGAGAACCGAAAAGGGCTTGAAGGAAAGAGACGAATTTCTTGAAATTCCTCTTCAGACCTGCTACTGCTTGAAGTCTCGAAATCCAAAGATTTCTCTTCGTGGCTCTCCGACCAGTCAGCACTACTAAAACTGCAGTGACGAACAGAGCAGGAAACTCCAATTCGGTCATCCCCCTTTAGAACTAGAGATTTTTGCCCCCGTTTCTTGTTCCTGCCCTTTAATCGCTTCAGAATGGAACCGAACAGCCCGAACCCAGCGCTCTTGATTTCGGTTGTGGGGTTTTTAGCAGAGTATTGCTTCTGGATCCTCAAGGCCGCCTCCAAAAGCAGAGCGGCCGTTTTGGGTGGAACGCGGAGAACTCCGCCGGACGCCGACGGAGGAGATGGGTCGGCGGCCGCCCCACTGAGCTGCCGCTTTCTTTCTGCAATGTAAGCATTCAGTCGAAAGGGCTCTTGGTCTTCTCGCAGAAGCTGGTGGAGGAACGGCTTCTCAGGCATTCCCTATGTGACCAATCACAGAAATTGAAGGTTTCAAGTTAGTTTAAATTGATTGAAGGAGGAAGAGAGTTAGGTTTTGGAATGTTGAAGAGCTTTCAACTTTCAATTTTCAAAAAAAAAAAAGGATGGAATTTGGGAGTGGAACAGAGAGGTGGAGAGAAAGGGGCTGGAATGAAAACACTTCCTGATCCTGCCTGATTCAAATCTTGGAGTTTTTCTAAGATCGAGGCACCGCACTGCCACGGGAGGGTGATTTTTGTTTTATAAAGTCGAAACAAATTACACCCATCATTCAAGAGCAAGGGTACACCAAAAATACTCTACCCAAAAAAGATACACTAGCATTTTAAATATTTACATTGACACAAAATATTAATTTAAACAAAAAAAAATTGTGCTGACATTTTGTATCATTGTAAATTATCACGATAGCATTACACTGATACAACATGTTAGTGCATCTCTTTAGGATACAAAGTGGGGTGTATCTTTTGCGGTATAAATAGCTTAATTCTTTAAATAATTTGAAACCAAAATACTCACTCCGTCCCAGTTTATTTATCGAATTAGATTTTTTCGAGTCAAACAGAATTAATTTTGAGCTTCAATTAAATAAAATATTAATGTATATTAATCTAAAAATGCTTTTATTAGATTTATCAAGTTGAAAACTTTCTAAATTTTATTTTATTGTACTACTGTGGAATACAAATTGAAAATAATTGAACCTCAAAATTTGTCGAGTCTGACTTGAAAAAATTAAACTTGACAAATACACTGAGACTAGACCTGTGCAAACAAGGGTCGGCCCGTCTGGCCCGCCCAGCACGCACTTTAAAAATGGCGGATATGGACAATCTTTAATCCCCGCATGGGCGGGCCGGCCCGAGCCCGAATTGTATCTGGGCGGATCTGGAAGTTACTTTTAGCCCATCCGGGCCAACAGGCCTGCCCATATTCATCAAGAATATTCACTTTTTTATTAATTATCTAGCCAATATAATTTTGAAAAATTGTTATAGTTCATGTATAATGGTTCAATTCACTCACCTCTCTTAAACAAAAATCAATATTCTTTTAATGAATTAGTATGATGAGTTTATTAATTATGCAACAATACCTCTGTCATGCTTTTTGTGTAAATTTGGTGAGTGGTGATTTTATTTTTAACATTGAAAAAAGAGTTTAATGTTTTTTTGGATTTTTTGTGCAAAATTTTTTTTCTGGTGTTTTATCCGGGCCGGGCGGCCCGGTAGGTAGTGCGGCCTGCTAAGGTGGGCGGGTATGGGTAAAGAGTTAAGCCCATCAAATTCGTGTCAGGCTAGACCCACCCATGTATATGGACTAATAATTTGTATCCAGCCCGTCCCAGATCCGGTCCGGATCCTTATTTGCACAGGTCTAACTGGGACGAAGGTAGTATTCAGTAACAAAATTAAACTGTTATTGCTATCCTAAAAAATAATTCAAAATTCTACCTTCTTAATATATAGGGGTTATTGCACATAAGCCCCCTGGTTTGGTTAAATAACACATATACCTCCTTTCCTATCAAAAGTACCTTACGAGCCTCATGTGGTTTGCTTAAATGATACTCCCTCTGTCCACCATAGATCTTCCGAGTCACTATTCACAGGGTCAAACTTTACTCACTTTGTTTACTCAATTTTACTAGTCATTTCATAAAATAATATATTCTTGTCACCTCTAGTTTTGTAGAACTTTTCATGTAATTTATTACTATATAAATTTTATTTTAAAATTTTACTCTTATAATCAATTAAATTGAATTGAAAATAAAGTCGGTCAAGCTTCGTAACGCGTAATGGAAAGATCATACATGGACGGAGGGAGTACATATTACATACACCCCCTCTCCTATCAAAAGTACCTTATATTCCTATGTTGGAAACCAAACACACTAACACCATGGATGATATTTTCAGATAGAGAATTCAAAATTTACCTATCTACCCTCAGATCTAATTGATATTGAATCGTCACCTCATCTCAATTATTTCTTTATTTTTTTCCTATTTTTATTAAATTCTTTATAAAGCCCTATCTACTCTTTTTATATTTATTTTCATCTAATTTAGATGGATAAGTATTAATACTTGAATTATTATGATTGTGAGCGTAGTCCAAGTAATATGTGTTTACTAGATTCAATTTTTAAGACCCAATATTCTTAGATATTTATTATTTTAATAACTTGATATTTTTAAATTTAATATAAACTTATATTTATTGTTCAAATTGTAATAGAGTTAGTTATTAAAAATCAAATTTAACACTAATTCTAAAGCACAAGTACTCTGAAAAATAAAATAGAGTCCAACATATGATTTTTGCACATGGCTAATATCATTTCTTACATTTTTGGGCCGTCCATGTGTGTACTAAAGATAGTAAAAGCATAATTAAGATGAGTCTTATAAAGAAAGTGGAGGGTATGCAACGTACACGCGTGCTTCCAGCGGCTGCTTCATCACACTACGTGCGTTAGATTTTCAACAAGAGGGGGGGATATAGGGTAGTTTTGAAAGGAAAGTGGTTATATATTTTACTTAATCAAACCACGGGGGCTTATGTGCAATAACCCCTATTATATACTCCATATTATTGATGATTTTAGCATTGATGTTACAGTTGCTCGTATATATGAACGGCACTAGAATTTAGTAAGAATAAAGTTCCAAGTTTATAATTTCTTCATAATATCACAAAAAAAAACAAAATTCAAAATAAGTCTCGGAATCTTCTAAAAATCTTGTTGTACGAGGACACTAGAGATGACAACGAATCAGGTTCAGGTCGGATATAATATGAATACATACATACATACATACATACATACATACATACATATGTTATCTTTAGTTTAATTCCTTTAAATAATATTTGACAAACTTAATTATCATATAATTAAAATGTCCAAAAATAAAAATATATTATATTTATATGCACTTGTGTATTCTTACAAATTGTCATACAATATTAACGTACACAATATAAATATCATTTTACTCAACTTTAGTAGTCTACACTCTCATACTACCTCCGTCCCAGAGTATTTGTCTACTTTCATTTTTACACACCATCCAATACACTTCTTTAATCCATTTTATCTTGTAATTTGTATATTAAAAAATTATAGAAATTATATATTAATAATCTATATGTTAAGACAAAAATCAAACAAAATCACACATGACTATATTTAGGCTTACACATTGAGATAATTTGATGAGTCAAAGTGCTTAGATGAACAGTTCCAAAAGTCAAAATTGGACGAATACTCCGGGACGGAGGGAGTATGTTCTAATAAGTGTGTGACCCTTAGGGGTGGACATGGTACCGGTAGGGAACTGCCATCGATACTGGAGCTAGACACAGAGGAGACAGTACCCGGCACCGTTCTCGGAACTGGTGGACATGGGTCTTCTTCCGGGTCATAATTTTTGGTACCTAAAACGTTTTGCATAGTATTTATTAGATACTACAAATAATAAGCGTTATCTAGCAATATATTCTAACGTCTAAGTTATTGATATGAAGCTCTTGGAAAAATTCTTTCAACGACACATCTCGATCATTTGTATAGCTTTTATCTCTTTATCACTAGTGTCTTGATTTAACTCAATGTATGGAATGACTCGCCTATTTTAGACTTGGTGTACATGTGGTGTACCCCAAGTGGTGTTCTCTTAGCACTATTATATTTTCAATATTTTACTCATACTTTAGTCTTTTCCTCTTCCCTTTTTATTTTTGGTCTTCTCTTAATAATATATTCCAATTTATTTTGTCAACTTTAGTTATCATTTAATTAAAACAAAATTATATATATATATATATATATATATATATATATATATATATATATATATATATATATAACACTAATTGGCAATAAGTATATTACATACATACACACACACACACACACACACATATTGTTATCACCGTGTAAAATATATATGCTTTATATTTTACTATTAGTTTGAAAATGGTGGAAAGATAGCATACAAGTGTGATCTTGGAGAGTAGGGCAACTCAAAAATAGGAAGGAATTTGATTCCACTCCTCTCAAATGTTAAAAGTGTATTTTAATTTACATCAATAAATATTACTTCCTCCATTCAGAAATGATTTTCTCATTGTACCTTTTTATTATACTTTTTCCTAAAGTACCCTCTCATTAAATCTCTGCCACCCACCCCCCTTTCTCTCTCTCTCTCTCTCTCTTTCTTTCCCCTCCTCGCTCTTCTTCACCTCCTCTTCTCCTATCCTTCGTTCTCCACGTCCTCCTACACCTGCTTCTTTTCTTTCTTCCACCTCTTTCTAGATCTGTTCTAGATTTATGGGTCTAGCGACGATGATGGACCCGATGGCGATGGTGGGACAAAAGACAGCAGTGGATCTGCGGTAGATCTATGTTAGATCTGTACATTCTGTGTTTAATCTTCTTTTTCTCATATTTCTCCTCTGTTTTCTCTCTTTCTCCCGGAGATGTTGACGGTGGGACTGGAGGTGAGGGTGGAGTTGGTGCGATGGTGGTGGTGGCTAGCGAAAGTGGTGCAGCTGTGGCAATTCCGGTGTTGCCAGTCAGGGCGGGCAGATGCAGTGATGATGGGGCGGTCGGGATTGGGGCAAGAGTGGGGTGGGCAATGGTGGACACTGGTGCGATGGTGGTTGCTAAAACTCTAGCACGGTAATTAGGTAGTAGTGGGGGTGCAAGGGTGTTTTGGATATTTTGATGCTGAAGTCAACACTTCATAAAAATGAAGAAAAGTCAAACTGGGAACATCATTTCCGGACGGAGGGAGTATGATATAAAATAAAATGCCAAGACTATTTTAAAATAAGTATATAAAGTATAATTTCTCTGTACCAATTTAAGTTATATGTTAACTATTCCCAAGGTAAAACTTTAACCATTTTTCTACTAATTTTTGTGACCCATTTGATAAAATAATAGTCATGTTAAATAAGGAGTATATAAATTTTAGTTTTTCACACAACACCAATTTTCAAATAAAAATAATTGAAAATAGTTTCAGTCAAAACTCGTAAACCACAAAAAAGAGAGCAAAATGACATGTTCAAAAATGAAATACAAGAGACAACTAGACTAGAGATCTGTTTTAGAGCATCTCGTAAGGGATATTCAACAACATAGCATCACTAAAAGGTGTGGGCCTTCACAGATGTGCCCAGGCATTCATTCTTCTC